TAAAAATTCAGACTGATCCTTTTGTGGAGGTGGTATCTTATATCCTTTTTTACTCCATGTGGAATTTGTTTCATGGAGATGATGATCATGTTAACTCTGGTTGCATATCTCCATGGTGATTTCTGAGAAATATGGTTGGAGTGCAAATGTATATTTATATGGAAACGGTGTCTTTCAGTATCAAAACCAGGTGAAACTGCATAGAATTCCACAGAGTCACTAATTCACTCCATCTTTGTGTCTGTCTCTACTTTTTATCTCATGCACAGAGTGAAAGAGAAAGAGGTGTATAATTCTTGTTCCCAAAACTCTGTAAAGACTAGGAGTAGAGTGATATTATGTGGCTTCTTAATATTAAATAATTTTGAGATGATGACTTAGGAAATATTGACTTTAATGTAATATAGATTTTTTTTTCCACAGATTTTTATATAAACTGATGAATTATTTTAATCCTGGCATGGACCACAATCATTCTAGGTATAAGAGAATTTAGGTTAATCCAGTGATACAAAAGAACTTAATTTTGGAATTATTTTTGGTTGCTCTGTGTTGAGGTCTCCCAATAAAATAAAATAAAATAAAACAAAACATTTTCAGTTCTTCTTTGAGCAGACTCCTTAGACCATGTCTTGCCTTCTTTATTACTTCTATTGCATAAAGAGCTTCTCTGCACAGCAGTGGTGAGGCCACTTCTGTAGTGCTGTTTCTACGTCTGGGCTCCCCTGTACAAGAAAGGCATTGACTTAACTGGAGTGAGTCCAGGAAAGGACCATGAACAGAAGTCGGAGACTGGAGCATCTTTCATGTGAGGAGAGGCTGAGAAAGCAAACAGTGTTCAGTGTGGAGAAGGGAAGGCTCTGGAGGACTTTATCAGTGTGTACAAATAGCTGATGGGTTGGAATGAAGAAGAGGGAGCCAGACTCCTCTCAGTGATATCCAGTGACAGGACAAGATGCACAAATTATAACCTGAGAAAATCCATCAGAACATGATAATTTTTTACTGTGGTAATGGTCAAACGGTGAAATAGGTAGATCAGAGTGATTGTCAACTCTTCATCTCAGAAGATACTCAAAATGCAAGTGAGCACAGTCTTGACTCTGGGTGACCCTAGGGCAGAGTGTTGGACAAGGTGATTTCAAGAAGTCCCTTCCCACCTCAGCCATTCTGTCATTCTGTGATGTGGATGTGACAACCCTTAAGTATCTATTCTACTTTATTTATGTGGTGTCTTTTTGCAATTATGGGTATGTGTGTTGCATGCTGTAATGAAGGTGGATGATTTTCACCTCTGGAATAAGTCACATTTGGGTCTTTTTTATTACCTTAATCAGCAAAAATACATATACTATTTTAACCTGCCCCTGTGATCATCTAGGAATTAATCTGACATCACATAACTAATTTTATGCAATTTCACATTACAATTCCTGAAACTTACCATGATAAATTAGAAGCTTTTTTCCTGTTTGTATCTCTAAATTGATAAGCCCTTTCATCTTATGTACAGTTGTTCATACAAGCTGAGATCTGTTGGAAGGTCTGACTTCCTTCTTTGAGCGGTGTCATTGACTCATGGCTTCAGTGGTGTCTGAACAGGATGCCACTTATGTCACCATCTCTGAGGCAATCCAGCACTGTCAGGCTTTCATAGTTTGTCTGCTGTCATTTGTTGACGCTGAGGATGTTTAAATCTATTCAGAAACCTCCTGAAGGACTACACAAAGCCTTTAGTATCTGGCAACCAGTTCTGGAGTACTCAAGGCCCACTGTAAGCAGAAGAACTTTATTCTAAACATTTGTAGGGGTATGTTGCAAATTTAGCAGGTGTTTGAGAAGCTGATTTGGTACACCTGGGAGTTAATCAGTGCATTTGCTTTTAAGTTGCCTGAATTTTATGGCAAAAACACGACGGAAGTCTCTCAAGACATAAAGAAAAACCATCAGCTGTTTGAATCACAAAGGTCTCCATTGTTTGTACCAAGCAGGGGAAGTTTTTAATAATGGTTGATAACACTACAAAGTGCACTCATCTGCTTTTTAAATTCAATACACTGTTTTAAAGAATAATTCTTCTTGTTATTTTTCTGGGTATGTTATAAACTGCTTTGCTTGTGAGAAAGAGGCTAGTTTACAGCCTTGCAAGTGGGCATTTCCCACATCACACATTATTTGTAGTTCTGCAACTCAATTTTCTTAACTTCAGGCCACTTAGTCTGACCATATAGCCTCAGAATATGAGAAAGATTTTAAGAATGCATGAAAATTGCTGTTTTCAGGCAAAAAGAGTGCTTGTCAAATTAATCCTGATTAATCACAAAATTCTTCCTGGTTTTGAGGGGGCTTAATTCTATTCGCCATGTTCAGATTTCCACAGTATCAAAAGGAATTCTGGAACTTTATTTTGTCTGCAGAATGTAGCATAATAAGGTATACTCTTCTTTGTTGAGTCTTAGATATGTTTGCTCAGACAGGAGTATTTTGAATGAGGAATAGTTTAAAATGCTTCATTCATCTTCAACGATAAAATTGGCATAGAAATGTGAAATACTGTCAAGGAGAAGAACAACACACCTAGTTGCAGAGGACCATTGTGCTCTGCAGTTGAGTTGTTTTCATTAAGTTCTTCTCAAGTGCCTGATATTTTCCAGGAAAAAAGTGGTGTTTATATAATGGTGGTAGTTTATATAATGTAGTTTCACCTTGTCTCAGGACAAGAGAGAGAGAGATCCAACCATTGAATGCTGTCCAGGATTTCAGGGAAAAACTATGTTGCAAGTATTTACTTTTTTTCCTTCATCACCCTTATATATTTCTATAGCTTTCAGTAATTTGAGAACTGTTGAGCTTGCCTCTACGAGTGATGATTATTGGATATTATGCTGTGGCTCTGAACCTCTCTGACATAGCTGTGCTACTAGAAGAGTTTGTGGATAATATATCTACTCTTTGTACTTAATCTTTAAAATTTTGTCTTGGCTTCTATTTTTATACCCCTTTTGTAACAAGCAAACATGGTGTTTTAGAAGTTAAGAAATCAAGGAAGAAGGTTTCCTGTTCCATATCCAGAAAATAATTCTGAAACTTGAGTTGAGATTGCTTAAAATTATTATTTTTTTTCAATCCTCCTTACTCATTGGTAATCTCAGCAATATGTAACTCTGCAACAGTTAAAGGAGAAATATGTCTCAGCAAGAAGACACAACAGCTTATTTTCCACCCTTGTGTGACACAGCTAATTCTTGTTACTAAGGGGTCCAAGCAAATTTCAGTTCATTACCTATTGCAATGAACTACAGTCAAACCTCCTTTTCTGGACTGAGCCATAACTACATAATGTAATGCTGTGGTGGCCTATAGGCAGATGGTCAGACCCACCTCAAAGCATTGGCAGCCTACTTGCTGGAAAGAAAATAGGAATCTCTTTAGACAAAGGTGAGTGTTTGCTTCTTTATGAAATAATATTAAATATTGTCTTATCTGGATGCAGCACTGAAAGTGCAGTGAACAGATCAGTGAAAGTATGTTAACAAATGTTTATAAGGTGCTTCTGAAGGCAGGAGTCTTCAAGTTCAGTGACTTTTAGCATGAGATTAGTTAACTGTTTTAACAGCTAACTCCAGGAGGTGTCCTGCCAGATATGAGTAATGGAGTTTGATGTACAAGCACATTGTCCACTGCAGCATGTTACAGATTTGGATTTCTCACTCCTTTACTGCTGGAACCATCTGAATCCCCAAGCATCTTCCCTGAAGGACCTTCTCCCACCATATTTCAAGAGGTGGTTTTGCTGGTCAGGTGTCACAAATGAGATGCACAC